TTGCCACCCCGAGGCCACTCTAGCCATGGACCCTGCCTGCAAAGCAGAAGTGTCTAAGCTCTTCCATAGCAGCCTCCCTGTGAACCAGAAGCTGCAGCAGATCCTGACTTGTCTCTCCAAGGCTGGACTGGTGCATGAGACCATCTTGAAACCAGAAGATATATTGGTACATGAGGCCAACCGAGCTGGAGCTATGGTGAATGGCTATGATGCTATAGCCAAAGGACAGCACATTGAGCAGACTGGCCTGAAATCACAATTGCTGCCCTTGGGTTCTGCGTGCGTGGAAATGAACCCCAAAAAGAGAAGCAACCAACTAGCAGCCAATGTGGCCATGTGTGAGAAGGCATCTGGTATGCTTGGGTCTATCAATGGACAAGAAAAGTTCCTGAGCCTGGGCACTTCACATTTTGCGATGTATTGTCGAGCTTTACAGCAGCATGTCACAAGACCAGATGGATCAAAACTCCAGCCTTTGCCTGAATTCTTGCCACTCTTGCAGGAAGGATGGAAGTGGACCATTTTGTCCTACCAGATAGAGGATGAGTTTCCAACTTTCACCTCATGGTGTCAAGCTACCCTCAACTCAGTGAACTCAGCTGGACAGCATCTAGTGCTCTTCTGGACTTTGTCCATGTTTCTACAAGATGGGTCAGCCCACAAGTTCACTTTCAGCGACAAGCAAGACTCAGGCAGTCGAATATGTATGATGCGCAAGAGCATCTTCTCGGCAAAAGCTATGCGTGGGGATGATGGTGAGGAAGCAGAGCAAGCATCCCTTTCCAAATACACACAATTGCAGCACCTTGATCTGACCAAAGACACTGAGATCTTGGAAAGTTGGCAAAGAATGAAGGAGAGACACAACACAGTTTCCAAAGGTGATTGGAAAAATGGTTACAAGTGTCTGGCATTGACTACAGTCCACACTCCTTGCTTCTGTCAAGCACACTCAATAGCCAAAACTTGGTGCAGCCAGTGTCCCAGTATTGCCATGATTACATGCACTGTTTGCGCAGCAAAGGAGTCTTGTGCTTTGTCAGCTTTTGGCTTGTGGATGCACTTTGCCATGCAGGGATGCATGACATATGGGACTCTTTGCATTCATTCTTGCAGCTATGGGTGCCACCTGGCGCCTTCAAGTCAATCAAGCCACATGACTTATTCCACCCAAAGCAGGTGGAAGCACACAAGTCCAGCAAGTACCTCAAATCCACAGCCAGCGAGATGCTGAGCCTGTATAGGCATTTAGCATACTATGTTCGAGCATGCTGCTTGCCCAGCAATTTCTTGCCAGCTGAGTGCAATTGTTTTTGGCTTGGTGTGATGTGCTTGACTTTTGTGTGAGCATACCACTATTGCAAGCTGCAAGTCCTGAGAGGTTGGCTACTTTAGTGGAGACTGCCCTGGGGCTTGTGAAGGATTGTGGGTGGGGTGACAGGATGAGACCAAAAATGCACTGGCCCCTGCATTGGCCAAACGCACTTGAAAGGTGGCAATGTTTACCATTAGGAGGTTTGGGGGGAATTGCTGTAACTTGAAGTTCTACGATGACTTTGTGATGAGAGAACTGCTTGCAGCCCAAGTTGGTGCACTTTCAATCAGCAATGAGAATATAGGAGTGCAGGAATGTTATTTGGTCAAGCCAAAGAAGCCTGACAAGAGGCTTCGCCAGCTTTTGGTACAGCACAACTTGTTGCTTGCCACCTCAGAATGCTTAACAGCACACTCTTGCAGTTTGGCCAATGGCATGGTGGCTACTGTGGGTGATGCTATCTTGTTTGTTTGTGGTGAATGTGGCAACTTGCCCTTCCAGTGTGGCAGCATCCAAGCACTTCTTGAGCTCAATGGCTTAAAGGTTGCTTTGATTGAAGAGTTCACAGGATTGGGATATATGTCCACCAGGCATGCAATCAAGTTTGATTGCACCAGCCCAAAGATTAGATTGTTGCCTTGCACCTCTATTGCAAGCCCTGTTGTGTTTTCCAGCAGCAAAGGTGTTCTCACCTGCCTCATCTCAGCACACCTGAAGGTGTAAGGAGTTGGAAAGTGAAAAAGGTGCTGGCTCTTTCCAAAGTGCAATGCCAAGGCATTGTATTTTACAGTAAATTAGCCTTTTGGGCTTTAGTTTGTTCATTTCATTGCACAGCCATTAGCCTTTTGTGCTTCAGTTTGTGTATTTCATTCTGCAGCCATTAGCCTTTTGTGCTTTCAAAAACCAAAAATTACATTTTCAAAAAAACAAGAAAAACTGCTTTAAAATCTAGAGTTTGTCGTTTTACCCAAACTAGTTATATGTAGTTATAGATAGTTAGTAACTCTTATGTAACTATGATAACTCTCTTAACTAGTTAGTAACACCCCAGCCGATCTAAGTATGTTGTTGATGCCACCGAGGATCCACTGCGGATCTTTCCACCAGCTGAACTTGCAATCTCGCTCTCAGCCACACTGTTGGGCGTTTGGTTTTGGTTTGTCACTGTCTGAGCTCGTTGACGATTAGGACATTCATTGCCCCAGTGACCTTGTTGTCCGCAAAGACGACATGTGTTGCGGTCTTGTCCTCCACCTTTGCCCTTGCCATTGAACTGACTCTTGCCCTTGGAGTTCTTGCCGCCATACTTTCCTCCACCAAAGCCATAAGGAAACCAGCCACCGCCCTTCTTGTCTTTGCCCTTCTGCTTCCCTTTGTATTTGCCTTTCACTTGGCCAACCTGGTCAACCTCCATCGGAGTAGGCCCTGTAGAGCTTGAGGAGGTCACAGAGTTTTGGACCATCTCAAATAGGTGTCTCCCGACCAAGCTCGAGAGTTCTTGTCCATCACAATCAACCGCTCCTTCAACTGCTGGTAGTCGAGGGAGTCATCCATGGTCAGCTCAAGGTGCTTTCTAACATTGATGTCCACGCACCTCATGACCGTGGACACCACCAGGTCATCAGGCATTGGATGCCCAGAAGCCAACCTGTACTGGTCCAAAAAAGGTCCAACTGCAACAAGTTCTCCATCATGCTCTTGTCTTTCGGGAAGCTTGGTAGGCCCATGATGGCCTGACCAATCGCCATTGTGCGGGGTCTGGCTTTCGGCATGTAGAGGTTCTTCAGCTGCTGCCAAACCAGGAATCCATTCTTTTCGGTTGCCTCAGCTCGAACGAACTGGAGAGCTGGTCCTTTGATGTATGATGCCAAAATGGCATATAGTCGATGAGCTAGTGTCTTGACATCCTCAGAGGCGAAGGTGCTCAACTGACATGGCTCATCCAAGGCTTCAACGTCCCTTCATCTCCTTCCAAACTGTCAGGAGTTTTGAGGATCTTGCTGGCCTCGCCAAAGTTGCCACTATCTTTTCTTTGTTCCATCTTCTCCATGACGGCTGAGGATGCTCGAGCTGCCATAGAAGCTGCCTCAGTCATCTGCATCATCTTGACAAACATTTGTTTGGCTTGTTCAGCCTCCATTGCATTTGCACTCGTCCACAAAGAAACCAGTAGCATAGTCTTCAGCTGAAGGCGAAATGCAAATCTCTTTTGCAACGTGCCATTCCATTTTCTGTTTCTTCGAAGGCCCAAGTGGCCCTTCATGTTCTTGGGCTCTTTCTTCATCTTGCTCTGGATCACCAAAGCGCCGACAATTGCAGCCAGAAGCACAAAGACCATCTTCATGATCGTGTAATCGATGAACTCAAAGATGTAGAGGCTTGCAATCCATTCCATAGTCACTAGGACATACGTTGGCGTGATGTCAAAGATCAGCTCATAGTTGGTTCCATTCACAAACTTCTTCACGAAGTTCAACCCATGGCCAAAGTGCTCATTCCAGCCAAGGTGCCCATCCTCGACTTCCAGGCTTGTCGGGTTCCAATCCCAACTAGTCTGCAAAACTTCATCTCCATCAGGGTGCCAATCCCCAATCATGGCCATCTTGTCGTTGATTTCCGTGGCATTGTGGTCATGACTCCACTGCCAAAGCTTCCGTCTGGCCTCAAACCAGGCCATCCCTGAGCTGTCCAGGGTTCTGGTGGTTCCAATCCACCTTCCACGCTCCTCCAACTCCTCAAACTCAAAGATCTCAGCCTCAGGCCAACCTTGGAAGTCCTTCGTCACCTCGTTCTCCTCCATATCGAAGTCGTAGACCTTGTAGAAGATGTTGTCCTGGTGCTCCTGCTTGTAGAAGACGTCATCCACGTCGCCGCGTACCCCAACCATCATCGAAAAGGCCAAGGTGGGCGCCAACCAGCGCCATGCTAGGTACCGCGGGACTGGAGCCAACACTTTGGTTGGCTCCGCTACCATGAAAACAAGCGAAGCTCGCGCCGGCTATTTTCAAATCGGCTTGGGCCACTGTGAGCCACGAGGGTTACAAACATGTTCAGTGACATGTCAGGAAATGAAACTCCTAACATTGTTGAAACACCATTCGCCACTGCTAGAATCAAAACCCTAGATACACAGCGAACCCCTGAGTAGTAGCAATTGCCCATAGAAATGACTTTGCCGTGACAAGAGCGCGTACTTTCGGCATGTCACGGGGTCATGCTGTTTTGATTTGCAGATTACTAAAAATGCTCATGCTAAGAGATGAAATAGGCGTGACATGAGAACATGACAACCAGATTGGATTTAAGACCTCATGTCGATGATGGGCACGCCGTGCCGTGACATGAAAACGTGACAGGGAGGGGAAGGGGAAGTAGGTAAGTGGCTAGATTGGTAGGTGGGTAGGTGCCTTCAAGGTGGCTAGAACCAGGCCCAGCATTAAAAAAGTTATGGCATCAAAATTAACAATTGTTTCATTAAACCAACAAACCAAGCAACAAGCAAGCAAACAAACAACGACAACGACAACTTGCGAAAAGAAAACAACCCGAACTTCGAGAAAAAACGAAACAACTTGACATGCTGCGTGGGTGTACGTGGCTTGGCGAATAATAGCAGAGTGCTGATGATGAACCCTAAAATATTTGCCTCATCGCGCGCAAAACTGTAAAAAACATATTGGGCCACCTTCTCTGCAACCACACTGTATCCTCCGCCTTCTTCCTTGTCAAGGAGCTCTGGGTCCTCAGAAAAAACGCGGCGATAGCCGAACAAAAGACACGAAACAATTGGCCTACACTCAGCGCAGCTATAAAAGAGTTGAAAAGCGTCTAAGTGTCCGCGCTTTGGCCTTGGCTTCTTGCTTTCCCGACACGTTGACCTCAAAGTGCAGAAATCCAGAACATGTGGGACACACAAAACTTCTGTTCTTTCTGCCCCAGCATTCTCCACGTTGAACCCAAACTCAAAAACCCATCCACATCGCGCCGCATCTTACACCAACTCACTCCGCGGCTCCAAATTGAGCCGGCGTTGTATTTTAACCCCTTTGCGAGAGCCGCGCAGTGGCAACACTCTCTTGGCGGCAACGCGCGGCCGCACAATGTGAAACCTTTGTCGTGACTGCGTTCACGCTTCACCCGTTTCAAGTGGACCGGAAGCGACGTCGGCACCGTGGCTGCCGGATGTGTTTTGAGGCAGAAAAGCGAACAAAAGCAACAACCTGGGCAAATCTCACACTAATTGCATTTTGTTTTGCTTGTGTTCATCTGAAAATGGATGATCCCTCGACCCCATTCATCATCTGGCTGAACCTTTCGGTTCTCTCTTTCAGCCATGCCTGGGTCTCTTTCTTTTCTTTACGCCTCTTCTTGCGTCCTGCGTGCTCCTTTTGGTTCAACTGTCGGTTCTTATCTTTCCGTTGTTCTTGAACACCTTGAGCTGAGTCTTGTCAGCATCTGTCTGAGTCTTTCATGGTCAAGACATTGGACAGAAATCTGCGTCCATCTATTGACTTGATTGACATCAAAGCTCATCCAAAAGCCTATACGCTCGTCTGTTGAAGCGCTCATTGCACCCTTCCGCAAGTAGTCGCAAACGCTCGTTGCGTCCCTGACCTACAGCCTCGAGCGCTTCTCCGTGACATCGCTCAAAATCTTCAACTCAACTTTTTCTGCGAAGGCTTCTTCCATCAAAATACTAACCAATCTCCACCTTCTATACAGCCTGTGCAAGGTGCTATAGCTCGCGCAGCCGATTCGTAGACCGCCAAACAGGAGTGAAGCATTGAGCCGCGTGTGTCCCCAAACGCAGTCAGTCAGTCAGTCAGTCAGTCAGTCAGTCAAGCAAACCTCACCAGAACACTACGGTATAGTCGATGAGAGGGTTTTTAGGTTGGAGGTCTTTTGGTGTCACAGGTCTCAACTGTAAAGTTTTTTAATCATATGTTTTTAACCATAAAAGTTCAATAAAACACAAAAACACAGAAAAATACCAAAAACAAAAAACAAAAATATAAGTAAACAAAAAACTTCTATGAATTTTACACATATCACATCTGACTACAGCTGACTATCAGGAGTTGGAGGCAATAGGTCAGTACCATGATTGTACCTTAGTCAAAACTGATCAAGGCAACACAAACGATTCAGCACGAGTTGATGAAGTCTTAGCCACACACCACAAGCCGGCGTAATCTCAAGGAAACAAATGGAAGTTGATTCAAGGCAACACCAGTGTGGTTAGCTGAGCTGAAGAGAACACTAACAAACAGCAACTTTTCACCGCACTTCGAATTAAACTCACAAGTGACTGCAGCAGTGGCAGCGGGGAAAAAGCTCAGCCAATGAGTGATAATATCATGGAAGCAATTATGTCAGCTGTGATGAGCGAGTTGTTTGACAGTTATTGGTTTTGTCAGTTGTGAGTGAGTTGATGTTTGTCAGTTGTTAAAATTTGTCAGTTGTGAACATTTGTCAGTTGTGAGTGAGTTGTTCGTCAGTCAGCTGTGAGGTTGTTGTCAGTTGTGAGTGCCGCATTGGCTGAGCACGCACTAGGCCACCACTACAACTGACTGACTGAGTTATTCATTCATGACCCCCACTCAGTCCTGCACATTTGCACGACGTGTTTGCCAAAACAAGGAGTGTACACTTCAGATTCCCTCAGTGCACACTTGTTCCCTGTGAAGCCACCAGCATCATCCCGAGAAACTAATTCAACACCACTGTCAAGGCGACCTGGGTGACTGACTTCAAGATGTTTGATTCTGGGAAGCGTCGACCACAGTGGCTTGCAGGACTTGCCACCAAATGAGCCCATGAATGCGCTGAATCTTTGTGCCCTGCTGAAGTGTAATACGCCTGACATTGAAGGCATTTGAGGTAAACAGCTGGGTGTGGGTTGCTCAAGGACAACCCACACAGACAGGGCGTAGCGTATAAAGAAGATCATGCTTGAGATCTCACCCATTGCGGTGCCAAGTCTGACAAACTCGCGGTTCACAAAGTCCCCCAGCCATTGATTAGATTCACATCTTTTCGACTAGGCCCTGCACAAGATCACAAATGACGAACAAGGTGTTCCAAGCCACACAAGTCCGTTTTTCTTGAGAGATGTGATGCAGTTCAGGAGTAGTGCCAATGGCTTTGCCTCCAGGAAGTTATGCTCACTGGTGTAGCAATAGTCAAAGGCTGTCCCTGAGTATCCACCACGAAGTAGCTCCTTTGTCAAATTGCCCGACCCAGCAAAGACCTCACAGAAGTCGAAGTGGTGACAACACTGCTGTTGGTTTCGATATCGCCGCATAATTAGAGAGATCATCATTGACTCAGCTCTGCCATCTCATGTGGAAAACACGATTGCAAAATCAGAGGCCAACGTAGAGCTGCCCTCCCAGCATTCACGCAGTCACATTCCAGAAAGAGCTCAATGAGTCCGGCAAAGTATGCCACTGTCGCAAACTCTACTGGCATGTAGGCCCTCAGGGAACAATCCAATGAACATATTCTCACGACAAAAGTTCCACGCAAGATCCATCAGTCCTTAGTTACAAAGCTATATCGTTTTTTGACTGTAACATCATTTTAATAACACGACCATCCTTGCAAAAGCTGCCCATTCATCAAAGTCTTCAAGCTTGCGGCGAGACGCTTTGTCAAAGATGGGCATCACTGGGTCACATTCCATAAGTGACAGTGTTTGCCTTGCAGACACACCTGACCCAACAGGAACTGATGATGCAGCCATGGAGACCTGAGAGGTCGGCTTCACACCTCTCCTGGGCGATTTCATCCCATGCTTGCGAACACGAGAGACGTTTGACGTCACGAAAGCCTGGCCAAGGAACAAAGGCCACCACATCATCATGGCTTGCATGGCAGATTCACGTATACCACATTAAGCCAAGCTAAGACCAGATATGATTCATTTAATCGCTGGCCTTCCTATGTGACTGATCATGATTGAATGAATCATGCGTTAGGTGTAGCTGACTTCTCATGGGGATAGATTTCACAGTGACAGCTGACAGATCTCAAAGCTTGGATCTGCTCATGCAAATTGGTCAAGTGAATGCATGAATGAATCAAGAGTGCTCAGTCAGTGGCATGGCGTTAGTTGGACTTGGGACCCCAGCCACTCCGACTTGCTCTTTGCCAGACCTTGGTGGCAAAAATCTCAAGACAGTGGGTTAAGGGTTGGCCCTGGTCCATTGTCGTTGTTCGATTCCCCCCTGGCTCATACTTCAACATTGTCAATTTGACACAATTGCAAGGTGACCATGCACAATATGACATAGTAACAACAAACAACTCATCAAGGTGCGACACAACAAGGTGGTGTGACTGAAGGTTGAATCGATTGTCAAATGGTCAAATGGTCAAAGTCAAAGCACAGAATGTATGAACGAACTACTTACAAACTTGATTCCATATAGTATACGTAATGGAAAGCACACACCACAATGCGCCCCAACTTTTCACATCTGACGAGGAAGTGGTCTTGGTCTGTGAGTCAGACCTTTGTGTACTTCTTCTTTGGAGGCAGTGAAGTGATTCTCTCCCTCAAGTTTGCAAACAAGCTCTGGCAAAGTGCCACCTGCTTGTTCAGAACCGGCATCCAATGAATAGCCTTGCTCACTGATGCAGCTTGATCAACCACACACAATTGACAACAAAAAACAAAAACTCAAACAATTGTCTTGTCATTGGCAAAACCATGTCATGGTTTGTCATCCTTGTAGCGGTTCCATGGCCTCCATGCATGGTCATGGGCGAAGGCAAGCATTGCCACCCAATTTGCTTCATCCTTGTAGTCAAAGGCTTTAGAGAAGGATGGACGAGCCAGAGCCTTGCTGAACTTCACATCGATGGTCATTGCCTAAGCTACCCAAGATCTACCCATTATTGTTATCTGCACCCGTTCACTCATACACAAAAAGAAAATAGTATTATCACATTTTTCTGAGACTGAATCAAGCCAGGTGACAGTTCAGATGGATTGTGGCTCCTGGTGGTACAATGTCAGCAGGCCGAATTGACTCGACATCAGAGCCGCCCTCAGTCGGGGCCACAGGAGCTGAAGAAGAGCTTGAAGCAGCAGCAGGGCGAACTGACTCGACCTGAGAGCCGTGAGGGGCCACAGGAGCTGAAGCCGAGCTTGCAGCAGGCCGAACTGACTCGACCTCAAGGGGCCTCAGGGGCCACAGGAGCTGAAGAGCTTGAAGCAGCAGCTGCATTGGGGGTCCACCACATTTGACTCAGCAGTGCCTGATTCCACCTCTGGCAAGGCAACCTTTGGCACCTCAACCACTGGAGGTGGGAACTGCGAAGCATCAGGCGGCACAGGCACAACTGATTCAGGTTCTTGCGAAGCCACCTCCACTGGACGCTCAACATGTAAAGGACAGGCGTCTGGAAACTCTGGCCGCTTTTGCTTTTGCTTTGCCTTTGCCCCTGCCCTTGCCCTTCGCCTTTCGCTTCTTAGCCTGAGATTGTCACAAGCCAGCTGGGATAATCACTCACTTAGACAACCTACAACACACACACAGAAACAATGGCGATAAAATAACAACAAATCATGACTCTCTGAGAAGCATTTTCCACAGCCTCAATCCGATTCTTGGCCTTGGGTTTGTCAATGTTCCCAAGTGTTGGCTCAAAACCAAAATCTCCGCGAAGGATAAATTCTGAGCCTGTGAGAGGAGAAGGGCTTCAATGGCTGGTTTCCAGCTTCCCACATCATGCGCCACAGAATGATCCTGAGTCAGGATTGCTTCAACAAGCGCTGCCTCTGTGGCATGAATGTCCAGTGCAAAATGCCAAGAGAGCTTCCGTGCCAAAATTGCCCACTTCAACGATGCAACGCACAAATAGCAATCAT